CAGCTGGGACTCCATCAATACCAGCCCACATCATAGGCCTCACCAAAGAGAAGGTGCCCCACCCATCACACCAGGGTGAGTTAATGAAATGTTCGACCTGTGGGGCCTGAGAATTATGTTATAAATATCCAAATGGCCCCAGGCAGGAAAAAAAAGCTTCCCTGCCCCTGCCCTACAGCATCCTTTAGGAATAAAGTTTTAGGGATTATAAACTCAGCAAAACCAACCCATTGCCATCTGACTCATTGTCAATTCCAGCTCAAAGCAACCCTACAGGACAGAGGAGAACTGCCCTTTTGGTTTCTGGAGACTTTAAATCTTTACAGGAGTAGACAGCCTCATCTGTGTCCTGTGGAGCAGCTGGTGCATTCGAACCACTGACCTTGTGGTTAGCCACTAAATGTGTGTAACCCATTATACCACCAGAGAGAGCTTCTTGAGGGATCAGCAGAAGGGATGCATCACCCCCCCACACACACACCATCTAGCATATAATTCTGGAATAGTTTATAAATTCATAAATTAAAATCCACATGCAATGGAGCCTCTGGACCTAGGGCTCAGATATCCTTACTAAACTCTACTATCTTCCAGGCCCTGTGACTGACGGTGGAAACACAAATTAACTCTGCCGAGACCACAGTCAGCCAGCAGAGAGGAGGGAGAGAGTTCATGGCTTGGGAGTCTGAACAGGTGCACTGTAATAGAGTATTACATATGCAGTGATTCCTAAACACACAAAGGCAGCAATCAACCATCCCTGTATGGAAGGGGGTCAGTGAAAGCTTCAAAGAGGAGATGGCACCTGGATGGGGCTTTAAAGGGTGAACAGGAGTGCTTTGTGTACAGCTGGTTAGGGAGAGCATTCTAGGTCAAAAGAACAGGCAAAAGCACAGAGGAATGAACCGGATGGGCTGGGAGGTTTGGAGGAGGGGAAATGGCCTTGATCAATTGTCAGGAGCTGGGTGAGGAATGAAAGGAGGAGGAGCATGCTGGAGGACTTGAAGCTGAAGTGCAAACCTTTCTTGGTAACAAAACAAGGAGTAAATTTAAAAGCATTCTACAAGGCACTAAGATATAATATAACCATTAGTGGTAAATACCGACACTCGAGTTATGATAGGATAGTACTACGGGCATTGGAAAGTAGTAGTGAGTGTTATTCCTTCACAGAGCTACAAAGTTAATACGGACAGTCGTTAAAATTCAAGTGGACAGGGCCGGCCCCAGTTCCAACAAGGTGGACAGCCACTCTTCACGTGAAGCTGTAGCTCAGGGAGAGGGACATGTCTGATCAGAGCACGCGGGAGCAAATGAAGGGGACAACACTGGAGACACAGTGTGGGAATTGTTCCCAAGCTGACCCCACCACACAGAGGCGAAACACTAAGGGTGTGCAACAGAACAGCAAGGGGAGCACAGCAACGAAGTTCCCAGGATACCAAAAATAGACTTCGGGGCCAGGGCGTGGCACCCCATCAGACTCAACCAGAAATACTAAAAGTCAACAAACAGACCTTGAACTATTTATCAGCTTTTCTTTCTTTTTTTTTGTTTTGTTGTTGGTTTTGTTTTGCTCTGTCTTGCTTTTTGCACATGTTGTTATCTCTGCATATCTATGTAGATAAGATATGGGGTAAACAATCTGGAGGAGAAAACAACAGGACCGATGGTTCCAGGGGGACATGGGAGAAGGGGAGGTGGAGGAAAGCAAGTGGGTGTTAGCAAACCCAGGGATAAGGTAATAACAAGTGATCTAAAATAGATGGCCTGGAGGGTGTAGGAAGCCCGGTAGGGCTTAATCAAGGGCAATATAACTGAGAGGAATGACTGAAATCTAAATGAAGGCTGAACATGATAGTGGGACAAGAGGAAAGTAAAAAGAAATAGAGGAAAGAACTAAGAGGCAAAGGGTATTTATAGAGGTCTAAATACAGGCATGTACATATGTAAATATATTTATATATGACAATGGGGAATAGATATATGTACATATATTTATAGGTTTAGTATTAAGGGAGCAGATGGACATTGGGCCTCTACTCAAGTATTCCCTCAAAGCAAGAACACTTTGTTCTATTAAACTGGAATTCCACGATGCTCACCTTCCTGACATGATCCCTGAGGACAAAATGGGCACATAAGCAAATGTGGTGAAGAAAGCTGATGGTGCCTGGCTATCAAAAGATATAGTATCTGGAGTCTTAAAGGTTTGAAGATAAACAAGTGGCCATCTAGCTGGAAGCCCATATGGAAGAAGCACACAGCCTGTGTGGTCACAACGTGTCGATAGGATCAGGTATCAGGCATCAAAGACCCAGAACAAAAATCATATCATTTTGAATGAGGGGGGGTGGTAGTGGAGTGGAGACCCAAAGCCCATCTGTAGGCAGCTGACATCCCTTTACAGAAGGGTTGCGGGGAGGAGATGAGCCAGTCAGGGTGCAGTATAGCACCAATGAAACATACAACTTTCCTGTAGTTCTATAATGCTTCCTCCCCACCGCTATCATGATCTCAATTCTACCTTACAAATCAGGCTAGACCAGAGCTGGAAACAGGGAATCCAGGACAGATAAACCCCAAAGGACCAATATTGAGAGTAGCCATACCAGGAGGGTAAGGGCAAGGTGGGGGGAGATATAGGGAACCAATCACAATGATCTACATATAACACCCTCCCAGGGGAATGGACAACAGAAAAGTAGGTGAAGGGAGACATCAGTCAGTGTAAGACATGATAAAAAAATTTATAAATTATCAAAGGTCCATACGGGAAGGAGGGCTGGGGAGGGAGGGGGGAAATGAGAAGCTGATGATACCAAGGGCTCAAGTAGAAAGAAAATATTTTGAGAATGATGATGGCAACAAATGTACAAATGTGCTTGACACAATGGATGGATGTATGGATTGTAATAAGAATTATACAAGCCCCCAATAAAATGATTTAAAAAATTAAAGTGGGCTTGGTCCTGTATGTCAGAGCCATGACGCCCCAGTGTGGAGCCTTTTCTATATCACTGGGGTGCAACTCCACCCAGCGTCAGTCACGTACAGCCTTTCCTTCCGTGTCCTCTCCTAAGGAGCCCCGGAAGAGCTGGAGATTATACACTGGCAGCCAACCCCGTGAGCAGCCATTCGAACCCACCATGAAGCAGGCGGTTGCTAATGGAAACGAACAAGCTCACCCAGAGGTCTGTATAAAAAGGGCCTGGTAATCACATCTAAAAGCAGCTATTGAGGGTCACAGGGAACACAGCTGCGTGCTCACACACGGAGGCTTCATACGCCAGCATCAACTCTGAGTGACTGGCTCCAGCTATTCTCTTTGGTTAACCTTTGCGGTGGGTTCAGGAGGCCTGGGCTTCCCTCTTTTCCAGGCTCAAGAGGCCAAAACACCCGGTACTGTGCCAAGCCAACACTTTACCCATCAACGAGTCCCCCAAAATCTCCCCTCAGCAATACCCTGCCCCCAGCTCCCCTCCCTGTTTTCTGTGCCCTATCCTACTCTGGCCCAAGCTTTGAACCATTTTCTCCCTCTGTTCCCAAACCATGCCTCTGTGATCACCCTAGCCCAGCCCAAATCCTCCACCATCTTGCTGGAAGCTGCCTCCCATCTTGCTGGAAGCTGCCTCCACCATCTTGCTGGAAGCTGCAGGGTGCCAGGGTCAGCATTGCGCTCCAGTGCCTCTGCCTACGCTAGAGGCCGGGGAGAGGAAAAAGCAACCAGTACAACTGGAACGACACCATGAGGCAGTGTAAGAGAGAAAAGATCATTCTAACTAATCTTAAGCGAAGGCTGATTATGTGGCCAAGCAAGTGTGTCTTTTATTTGCGTTCTCATATTAAGAAAAACCCAACCCAACTCATGGCTGTGAAGCGATGCCAACTCACACCACCCGTCAGGACACAGTAGACTGGCTCCCGAGGGTCTCGAAGGCTGTGAATCTTTAAGAAAGCAGACAGCACATCTTTGTCCCATGGAGCGGCTGGAAGATTCAAACCACCCTCCTTTCATCTGGCAGATGAGTGCCTAACTACTGCACACCAGGCCTCGTGCCCGTATGTAGGAAACTGAGGACTGGGAGGAGAAAGTACGCGGCCAAATTCTCTGTGTTCATACTTAAAGAGTCTGGAAGGCCAACCCTGGTGGAGGAAGGCCTTCACATTTGTGAGGTAGAGATGACTCCCAGTCACG